CCTCGAGGGGACGGCCCACGCCGAGGGCTGTGTAACTTTTGAGAAGTCCGGGTAAAGGTACAGGGTGGATGGGTTTCATCATGGGGATAACTTGGAGGGAGGGAGTGCCAGGGAATGCTCTGTAATATCTTTTTAAACCTTTTATGTAAACCTAAAACTATTTTAGCATTTACATTTTTATTTTATTATTTTATTTTATTTTTGAGTTGGCGTCTCACTCTGTCGCCCAGGCTGGAGTACAGTGGTACCTCACAACCACCGCAGCCTAGACTTGCTGGGCTCAGGCAATCCTTCCGCCTTAGCTTTCCAAGTAGCTGGAACTACAGGTATGCACCACTACACTCAACTAATTTTTCTTCATTTATTGTAGAGACAAGGTCTTGCCATGTTACCCAGGCTGGTCTCAAACCTCTGGGCTCAGGCAGTCCTCTAACCTCTGCTTCCCAAAGTGCTGGGATTACAGGCGTGAGCCACCGTGCCCAGCTAATTGTTTAATGTTTTGTAGAGATGGGGTCTAGCTATGTTGCCCAGCTTGGTCTTGAATTTCTGGATCTTGACTTTCAAGCTTTGGCACCCCCCAAAGTGCTGGGATTACAAGATGTGAGCCATGGGGCCGGCCTTAAAAATTTAAAGAAACCATTTGCAGCTGGGCTCGGTGGCGCAGCCTGTAATCCCGTGCTTTGGGAGGCTGAGGTGAGTGGATTGCCTGAGCCCGCGGGTTCAAGACCCGCCTGGGCAACGTAGCGAGACCTCATCGCTACAATAAATTAAAAATTCAGCCGGGCGTGGTAGCGCGTGCTTGTAATTCCAGCTACTCGGAAGGCTGAGGCAGAAGGATCGCCGGAGCCCAGCAGGTCGAGGCTGCAGTGGCTGGGAGCAGCCACGGCACTCTAGTCTGGGCGACGGGGTGAGACTCCAACTCAAAAAGAAAAAAAAAGAAACCATTTGCATGCATGAGTATCAGATACATGCAAGTATGTCATCTCATTTAATGCATTCATCAAACATTGAGTCTGCTATGTGTCAGACTCTGAAATAGATCCTGGGAATACAATTATTAATAAGACAAGATCCTTGCCCTCCTTAATTGGGGGATAAATAGTTTAATTACAGTACATGTGGCACATGAGAAGAGGAACTAACCCAGAGGCATAAGAAAACAGAAGATACTTGTGCCAGGTTACACTCCGATGGTGGCACACAACACCATGCTAAGGATCCATGAATGTGTGGTAATTGGTAAAGTAAATGAAGAAGGCCTTCAGAAAGAAACTTTGCCTTGACGTAAATGAGTAGGGCTTAGATATAGAAGAACTGAGAGAGGAAGAAGTATTTATATGTTCAATAAACATTTATTAGGTGTGTCATAAATGCCAGATACAGAAACCAGGGCCAGCTTTTTAAATAAAACGATATTTTAATAAAACCAAGAAGGCATTTGATAAAATGCAGCATCCATTCCTGATTTTTTAAAATAGGAATAGATGGATGCTTTTTTAAAAGAGTCAGAATGAGCCGGGCGCAGTGCCTCAAGCCTGTAATGCCAGCACTTTGGGAGGCTGAGGTGAGAGGATTGCCTGAGTTCGAGAACGGCCTGGGCAACTTGACGAGACCTCATCTCTGCAATAAATCAAAAAATTAGCCAGGCGTGGTAGCACGCACCTGTAGTTCCAGCAACTTGGAGGGCTGAGGAGGAAGGATTGTCTGAGCACAGCAGGTCGATGCTGGGGTAGCCATCAGCATGCTACTGCACTCCAACATGGGCGATGGAGTGAGACTCCAACTCAAGAAAAAAAAAAGTCTTTCCCTGTTGCCCATACTGAAGTGCAGTAGTGCAGTCTTAGCTAACTATAGTCTCAAACTCCTGGGTTCTAGGGGGATTCTCCCATGTAGATGGAACTACAAGCATGCAACACCACCAGCTAGGATGGCTTTTTAAAATTATAAAATATTTCATAACAAATATGTACTCACTATTTAAGAACAATATTTCAGATAGCTAGATTGCCAGTTATCCCTCCCTGACCACATTTTCTTCCCTGTTTTCAAGGTGGCCACGTGCCTGAATTTGGCGTTTATCATCCCTGTTCGTCTTTCTGTTTCTGCTATATGTATATGTATTTATAAACATTACAGCATTGTTTTGCATATTTTGAATATTTTATAAATGCTGATTCTTCTGCAGCTTTCCTATTTGGTCATGATGCCTCTAAATTTCAAATGATTCAGAATGAAAAATAATGTATGTGTATAGGTAGAGAGAGTAATACATGCAATGTTACAATGCTTTTGTACAATTTTTGTATAATACAGTACAAAGAATGCTACAATAAAATTCTTGTACATTTTTCCTTGAGCATATAAACAAGAGTATATCTAACATATATTAGGAATGAAAATAATTGGTCCTAGAATAATCATATTTGAGATGTTATCAAATTGCTCTCCAAAGCAAATGTGCTAATTTTCACTCTCAGGAGAATATGAGAATTGTCTGTTGCCTCACGTCATTGTCAACATTTGGTATTGTCAGACTTAATTTTTGTCCATCTGGGAAGTGTAAAATGTTAGGTGTTCAAGTATTTATTGAATACCTACTAAATGCTAGAGAGTAGGAATAAAGTACTGGAGATACATCAATAAACAAAGCCCCTTCCCTCATGAAATTTGCATTCTAGTGCAGTAAATAGTCAATTAAAAAATATTCTTGGCCATGCTCGGTGGCTCAGCCTGTAAGCCTAGCACTTTGGGAGGCCGAGGCAAGTGAACTGCCTGAGCCCATGGGTTCAAGACCAGCCCTTGCAACTTGGAGTAGACCTTGTCTCTACAATAAATAAAAAATTAGCCGGGCGTGGTAGTACACACCTGTAGTTCCGGCTACTTGGAAGCCTGAGGTGGAAGGATTGCCGGAGCCCAGTAGGTCAAGGCTGCAGTGGCCAGGAGCATGCCATGCACTCCAGTCTGGGCGACAGAGTGAGACTCCAACTCAAAAAAAAAAAGAAATACTCTTACAGATATGCACACGTTTGCAAAAATATGTATGCAAAAATGCTCATTGCAACATAGTTTGTAATAATGAAAAAACTAGAAAAACTGAAATATCCTTCAACAGAGGACTTATATAATATGGTATCCTATTCCATCAATAGAAAGCTATAAAGAATAAGGTGTATAGTGACATGAAAAATTGTCCAAGATACATTGTAAGTGGAAAGAACAAGTTTCCCAACAATACAAGAGTATAACTTATTTAAGATGAAAAAGATGTATATAGATTCATACAAAATGTCAAGAATATAAGGGGCACCCCCAAAAAACTTGGAATTACTTATTGGAGGGTGGGCCCCTTGTAATACAGGCTTCCTCTGCTAAGTAAGTTTTCTAGGAACCCATCGGCATCAGTGTACCAGTTAGTGTTGTGAGAGGCTGCATTTGGCTTCAGTGAAATTTTTCTTTTGATTCTTTCAATGTATTTGCCGGTTTCATGATGGGTGATGTATGAGTGCACCCGCCCGCAGTGCGCTGAGTGTTCAGCAGTTTTTGACCAAAACCAGCATGACCCTCATTCCCCACCCTCCCTATTCACTCAATCTTGCCCAGAGTGACTTTTTTGGTTTCCCTGGATGAAAAAAGTCCTCAAAGGAAAATGTTTTGCCAGTTTGGAAGAGGTGAAACCAAAAAAACAGCAGGAGCACTAAGACATCCAAACTGATGAGTTCAAAAACTGTCTTGAGCAGTGGAAAAAAGCATCTGGATAGGTGTATTGCATTAAATGGAGAGACTTTGAAGGTCACTGAAGTTTAAACTTGTAAGAATAAATACACAATATTTTATAAGTAAATTCTGGGTTTTTTGGGTCCTCTCCTCGCACATGATAAATCTTAACAAAATAACAGCTATAAAAATGTTTAGAAACATGCCTTATACATAGTAACTGCTATTGATTGTTAGCTATTAGTAGTAGGAATAGTGTAGCAATTATTGCTGTGAAGTGAGTGTGTATAAATTATGCAAGAGAAAAAGGATTTATACTTTTTACCTTCCGGTATTGTTCAAACTTTTGGTTTTTTACATTAAGTATGTGTCACTTTTATTATTAATTTTTTATTTTTATTTTTATTTTATTTTATTTTTTTTGAGTTGGAGTTTCACTCTGTTACCCAGACTAGAGTGCAGTGGCCGCTCCCAGCCACCGCAGCCTCGACCCGCTGGGCTCCGGCGATCCTTCCGCCTCCGCCTTCCGAGTAGCCAGAATTACAGACAT